AACCATACCCTTCCTGGCTTTCTGCTTAGGTAGCAAGTAGTAGTGGGAAGAAGTGAAGGAGAAACTCTTCCTTTCAGTGTAGTTCTTTGGCAAAAARTCTTCATGCAGCAGAGAAGCCAGGGTTTCCAGAGAAAAGAAATCTCTCTGTGAATTTGAATAGTAACAAAACTGCACTGAAGAGGAAATATTTTTGATTCTGTAAGATTCCAAATTGCTCTAAATGGAAAGGTTCCTCAGAGAGTATTCCTGAGAAGAGTAAAATTATATGTTTATCTGGGTGYTGGAAAAACTGCTATGGAAAGACTGCATCAGTAAACTGTCCTTYGAGGTACAGAGGGTGCTGCTTTTAGGCATCGTAAATGCAAAGTGGAAATACCGCCTAACCTGCTCAGATGCATAAATTTTCTGGTGAAAACTTAAATTGGATATGAAATCATGCATGTATACAGGAGATGTCATTTGAACCTTCATGCACTTCTGTGTAGCAAAGCTGTTCTGGGAATTGCATGCTTTGCCATCTGTAACACAGTGACAGTCTTGAATTCATTGAAAATTGAATAGGGGCTGTTGATTTTGGTAATGGCTGTATGACATTTCCCCTGGATAGGAAACCTAAGTTCARTTCCTTCCCAGACAGCAGTGTTCAGTGGCCCTGTTGGTGCAAATGCTGCTGCAGAGCACAATTTCACTGCCCAGAAGAAAGCAAGAAAAAGGTTGAAGGAACTGTCCAATTGGTTAAGGCTGCCTAAAATGACACAACATGTGTGTGAGTTGCTGTGTCACCAGTTTCCAAATTTCATTGAGTTTTCTTTCAATTCATGACAAAAAGAGAATGTGCATGAGAGAGGCTGTCACCTGTCTCTGACTGTGCATCCATTGGGTATGGGCTGATGCAGCCACATTTTTTTGTGCCATCTTTCTCTTCTGCTTTGGTGAAGACAGAAATAAAACTTTGTGAACACTACTCTGGTAGAAAACAAGGTCTTACACTGCTACCCTATGGGATCAAGGGTCTGGTGTTTAGTAGCACTGCTAAGGCTTCAYCTTTTGCGTACTCTCAGATAGAGAGAAATTTGCCTGAGTCTTGATGCWAATCACTCAGAAATATTGTGTGTAYTCTACAACCCCTCACATTGGGAGCTCAGAGMAGAGGCCTTTACATAAGCTGTTTTCCCTCTGTCTGAGAGAGACCATTTTTCCTTAGGGGACTGTTTCCATTCTCTTTAACATCCCTTTTGTTATCAAAGTGGCATGTAAAATACCAAGATAAAAAGTATACAGTGGAAAGAATGGCCATAATGAGTCACAGTAAAGGTCCATCCAAGCCAGTATCTGTCTCAGTTAATATCTCATTAAATCTTGTGGCTTTAATTTAAACAATTTTGTGGAGTTGGGAGGTAGCCACCCTATGCATCACCAGAGACACAAAGCCTATGGTTGCAGTGCTCTGTCCCATTTAAAGTGGAAAAAGTAAACAAGTATGAGGATACCTTGAAAAATACAGTAACACAAATGCTATTTCTTCACTAGTAATCTCTCAGTCTGCCACCCATTACTTGAGCTGGATGCAACATCTATGTATTTATTTAGTAACCTATATGAATTTCTCCTACCTCAACTTCCATGTATTAAAAGGGGTTTGGTATGACTGAGAGGTGGGAAAATGTACTTTCCTGGTTACATTTGGTAAAACCACAAACTAATCACTAGGGGTAATTTGGAAAAAGAGGCCAAAAGCTGTATTTAAAATATTGATTCCTGGGTTTGGTGATGGTTTGGGGATTTTTTTTTGTGTGGTTTTGGGTTTTTTTTTAATGTTTCATGTATCCTGGCATAATATAGAATCGCAGAACATTTCAGGCCAGAAGTGACCCATGAGRGTCATTGAGTCACAGCTGTTTGCAGATGCAAGTAAAATAAAGAGCAAGTGTGAATCCCATGTCCCTCTGTTCATGCTGAGTACCTTCCTTAGGTCTTCCCTAGGGCTTCCCTTCACAATCTGACCTGGCTCCTGCAGGTCCGGCAGCAAAAGGCACAAAGATCCTGCTTTCATGTAGCAGTCAGCAAGAGCTYTGGGGCAGAGAATAAAGCAATGAGCACTTCCATGGACCACTATGGAGACAACTTTATTCTCTATCTATCTTAAAACAAAAAAAACCTGGAGATAGAAGAGATGTGATCAGAACTGATTAATTTTGGCTTTTGGCAATGTCAGTGGAGAGGTCCAGGGCTGACAATAGGGGTGGCCTCTCCATGATGGAAATAAGGCACTTGGGAAAGAACTTTCTGTAAGTAGTTTCAAGTACACTTTTGTTGCCTGCTCAATAATTACTGTGTTGACATGATACGGCAGCTGGGTCTCTGGAGTTGTTGGTTTGGCATCTCTTTTGACTGTTAAAAGTGCAGTGCTGTAATATTATCTCCTTTCTAGTAAATTGAGTATTGGAATACTTATTGTTTGGTTGCTTAAGTTCTGGGTTTATCCTTTTAATTTTGGTTTCTATTAATAAGTCTATTTTGGACTGCTAAACATTTATTTTGGTCTATACTTAAAGTTCTCAAGTAGAGGCTTTGTTGAAAATGAAATAGAGGATTCTTGCAAATGGAAAAGATGATCTGTGAAGGAAATACAATTTGGTTCTGTCAATCAGATAACCTTGTTTTGACAATTATTTTACTGATTCTTTTTTAGAAGTATAAGTTGGTTTTCACCAAAAGAAATCTTGCTGTGATGTGATGTCTTTCAACATCAGAGACATAACTGATGGCTGCTGTAGCATTCCTGATGCCTCCTTTACTCAGGACAGCCAGCAAGTGCTGCTTTCATATRTATTTCTCCCATGATGAAGTGTTGGTGTTTCCTTCCTGTGCTCTGTGGAGGCACAGGGCTTCTTTGCAGGCCCCTGCTTTCTTCTTCCCCTTCTGAGCATCTGCCTTTTTCCTGTAGCTTCTGTCATTCCTGTGGATCTGRGAGGCTCAGCCCTGAAAGTAGCAGTGGATAAGTGCTGCTGAAGGATGAGCAGCTAAAGGAAGGCATCAGTGACTTCTGCAGGGCTGGTGAAAGGACAGCAGTGCCCCTGAAGAGGCTCCCAGGGTCCCTGCGTGACTTGAAGTGTCTGCACTCATGACACAGAGCGCATTCAAGTTCTATGTGGCAGCCAGTGAGGCAGTGTGTTGTTAAAACATTTTTTTTAATTTAGAGTGCTGTTTTAATTTCATAAAAAAGTTACAGCATTAATGGTATCTGGCCCAGTACTCAAAAAAGTGAAGACTGATAGCAGTGAAGTCATTAAGTTGCTTGTATTTTATTTAGCTTTCACATAAATTCTGTGGGTGTTACATAAATAGCCATTTAGACAATCACAGAGGTGACAAATAGCAAAAATTAATTAATGTACTATTTCATAATTAGTTAACGAGCTMTTTTGTTCTGTCTTCTTTTTCAAAACAATTCCTTATAATTTGTTTATTTCTTTTGCGTTGTTGGAGGGAGGAATCAGTAGAATTTTATAGTTTGTTAGGGTTAGTATTGTGCTTTTTTATAAGTATATCAGCTCCCTGTGCTCTAGTCTGTCTTGCTTGGTTTTTTTTTTTTTCAATTATAGGATGGCATTTTGCCGATATTCTAAAAGCATGCAATTGTGCTTCAGTCACCTGCTATTCAAATTTTATTTCATGTGTTAATCTTTGATATTACTCAGTCTGGCCTCATGAAAGATGTGTTTTATCTTGCAGTAAACACTTGCCATGGAAAAGGCTGGAAGAGATTTTAGGATGATCAATTGTACAAACCATCAAGTCTGAAATKATCTATGTAAATTGTCTACCTTTGCTGTGGAAATACTTTTTCATGTGTTACAAGCCTAATACTTACACACAATTTCATAGCTTAAAACAAATCCTTATTCAAATAGCTGGAACAAGAAACTGCCATTTAATCTGTTCGAATGAAGTTGATTTTCCAGTGTTTGTGTAGCATCATTGGTACAGTGCATCTTATGTCCTGTCCCATAGACCCCAAAGTGCTTGCTCTGATTTCTTACCCCTTCTGACACAAGCTAATATGAATAAGCAAGCATGGGTCTACTTAGTGAAAGTATTTATCTGAAAACTGAAGGAGAAATTTAAACCAGAATAATTATGGTTTTGCTTTGTTAATTTTGGGAGATTATATTAGGTAGGAGTAGCATTTCCAGGAATTTGAATTTTGTGCAGTGAAGTGAATTGACCCTGAAAATTGCATTTTACATTGAAGGATGAGAGAATACAGAAGAGATTCAGTGTACTTCCTTCCAGAGCCTTAAAATTAATGGAACTCTAACACACTACTCCAAAAATATATCTTTTACCATGATGRTACTTTTTTTCAATAAACATAATGAGTATATATTGCTTAATTAAAGTAAATTTGTCAAATAGTATTTTTAACAGCAATATGAGACCAAAGTTGCATATTTGCTTGACAGAGGGTTATAGCGCATAAACTATGATAACAAAGGAGTCATAAACAGGAAAAAAATCAAAACTTGAAGATGCATGTAATTTTTGTAATCTTGGATATTACAATACACAGTCTGCAGGGCTTGGCTCTTCTGAGGAAGGGCTGGAACATTCAATGTTGTAAATCATGTTCTTTTGGTAATGTATTTTGGTAAAGGCTACAGAGTGGGATAGTGGGATAGTGTTTGGACAGGTGTAACTAGGAATATAATCTACTTGTGGATGTGCCTAGGAGGAGAAGTGTATAAATGCACCTTGGGGAAAACTGAGCTTCCATAGAGAGGCTGGTGAGTGTTGTTGGGTTTAGAATCCGAGTTTTGGGTTTACATGCTTGACTGACACTTTATGGGTCAATGCTTCATTGCAGGGTGGCCACATCCAGGCTTGCAGATTCGATTCAGAGTTGTTCCTCATACACAGTRTATAAACTGCAGAAGCTTAGATTTGTTTTGTAATATAATAACACTGCATTTTCTTTTCATGTTTCCCCATCTAGCTTTGTATCAAGACCTTGAGAATAAAATACACATGGCACAGATCGTAACATTTTTTCAGATGCTGTTAGCTCTGCTACTTCATGAKTACATCACAGCTGAAGATGGGGAAACACGAGCAAGTAGGTCTTAATTTTTGCATTTTAAATAAGTGCAACTTCAAAGCATGCCTTGAATTTTTAGTATCCATTGTGGCACTCAGATGTACACTTGTGTTGATGGTGATTTTATTCAAGTATGATTTTCCTGGTGAAAATTGTATAACATATAAAAAATAGCTTAAATATCTTACTTCTCCATTCACTTAGGAGCAGAATATATATATATATATATATAATTCTTTGGAAATGCCCAAGGAGGCAGATGGAACTGTAAAGCTCCAGCCTTGATTTAAAATTGAATCTCGAGTATTTTAATTTTCAGTTCTTCAGAAGTCTTGTTCTGAATGTCTCAATATTATCTGAGAAACTAAATAAGGAAAAATAAAGGTTCTGTCAGAGGAAGCTGAGATAACTCCAGTTCTGGGACAAACCTTCTTGCATTTTCTTCAAAATTACGATGTCAAACCCTACCAAACCATTTTTGTACTCCAAATCTGGCTTATAGAAAAGAAAACATCGAAGCAAAGCTTTTTTAAAGACATAGTAACTGAATAAAAGGAGTGTGGAAGACCTGTCTCTAGCTGCAGTGATACTTTTGGGGTAGATCTTTTTCCTCTAGATTTGATCTCAATCCAGAATTTTTCAGTATTTTACAACAAACCCCATAAAATTCCTTTTGGTCTCTAGAAAGGTATTTTTTTCAGTCTGCCTGCTCTAAGGGTATCCATTGGAGTACTCTGCATTTAGCTGAGTCCAGTGATACTGACTTCCTCCCAGCTGAAATTACTCTGTGATTCATATCCCTGGACCACTGAGTGATGCACTCAGCTCACCCTTTGCTCCTTCTCCCAGTGTCTTTTCACCACCACCTGCATTGCAAAAGCATCTCTCCAGCAGACTGTGGTCACTGGCTTTCAAGGAAGGTGAAATCTTGTCTTGACCAGAAGTGTCCACAGGCAGAGTTCAGGATAAGGCAAAGCTCTCCTTCCTGTGGTGGTGGTTGAGCTCATTCACTGAATACTTTTCTTCAGTAAAAATCAGATTATGCTACCAGCAGCATTCAATTAAGACTCAGGATTTTATAATACTAGTTCTGTAAATGCAATGTAGCAGTGTCAGAAGTCAATTAAGATGTATTTGTAGAAGGATTCTGGAGTATTCAGAGCAGAGTATAGCCTTCCTCTGCAGTGGGCTTGGTCTGCTAACCAAAAGGAGTTGTTATGTTTATCATCTCTGCAGATGAGATATGAAAAAATCATTATATATTCATCTCTGCTTATTGAATGAAATGCAATTGGCAGCTAAGGAACTGAATTCCCGAATTTTTCATAGTTGCTTCTGATACTAATGTAAAAACCCAAAAATGGTGTGACTTTCAGATATCAAGTTGGATCTGTYTGGCTTATACCATCTTACATGTTTTCCCTGATAAACTGCTAATTTTTTTCAGCTGGAATGTATTTGTCAATATAGATCCTATATAGATCCTAATACAGACACTAATGGATAGGAGAAACATTTACTGTGGAAGAAGAAAATGAAAATGTTCATTAAAATATTTAGGTGGGTTTTTTTTTTGGTTTTTTTTTTTTCAGGTTGCAGAACTGCTCCAGCAGATTTAGTTTTTATCCTGGATGGCTCTTACAGTGTTGGCCCAGAAAACTTTGAAATAATCAAAAGTTGGCTTGTCAATATAACAAGAAATTTTGACATAGGGCCAAAGTTTATTCAAGTTGGAGTTGTCCAGTACAGTGATTACCCTGTGCTTGAAATTCCTCTTGGAATTCATGAATCCACTGAGAACCTCATCAGGGAAATGGAGTCCATACACTACCTGGGAGGAAATACAAGGACAGGAAGAGCTATTCAGTTTGCCTTTGACCACCTTTTTGCAAAATCTTCAAGATTTTTAACAAAGATAGCAGTTGTTCTCACTGATGGAAAGTCCCAAGATGAAGTCAAAGATGTAGCAGCAGAAGCAAGAAAAAATAAGATCACTTTGTTTGCTATTGGTGTTGGCTCAGAAATTGAGGAAGATGAACTTAAAGCTATTGCCAATAAACCTTCATCAACTTATGTATTTTATGTTGAAGACTATATTGCAATATCAAGGATTAAAGAAGTTATAAAACAGAAACTCTGTGAAGGTAAGTGATTATAAAATATTTTAGGTGTGCAAAATATAGTTGTGTACACATATTTTTTAATTTCACAAGCAGAATACAAGGTCGATATAATCTTTACTATGATCTGCTTTATTTTTGATCTTTTTTGTGGAAATTCCTCCTAAAAAATTATTTTCTCTGTCAAACATAGAGGTGTATTTGGGAAAGATACGGTGTTGTAATACAGTATGTGTTTAATTTCAATATGTATCTTTTTCCCTTAGGCCCAACATTTTTTTATTGATAAACTTTAAAACCACTAAAATATTTGAGCAATTCTCATAGTGCTGAGAATATAGGRTTTACTTTATTGTTTTCCTAGTTGCAACTGATCCTCATACACAATCCAGCATTTCTTCTAGGCAGGTGAGAGGATAGCCTGCCATTACAACAGGAGTTCTTCTAAATATACACTTCTTCTCGTATGGATTGAAAAATGCAGAAGAAAGACTCTTGGCAAAAATCATAGAATGGTAGAGTGGTTTGAATAAGAGGGGACCTTAAAGATCATTGCGTTCCAACCCCCCTGCCATGGTCAGGGACAYCTTTCACTAGATCACGTGGCTTAGAACCCCATCCAGCCCAGCCTTGAACACTTCCAGGGACAGAGCATCCATCTCTGGACAGGCTGTTCCGGTGCATTGCTGCCAGGGCAGTAAAGACTTTCTTCCGAATATCCAATCCAAATCTACTCTCCTTCAGTTTAAAGCCATTCCCCTTTGTCCTGTCACTAAATGACCTTGTGACCTTGTGACCTTGTGACCATCTCTCTTGTAAGGCTCCTTTTAAGAAACATTTCCTAAGGATTTCTGTTTTTCAGGCTGAACAACCCCAAATTTCTCAGCCTTTTTCCACAGGAGAGATACTCTAGCCTTTTAATTAACTTCGTGGCTTCCTCTGGACCTGCTCCACATCCTTCTTATGTTGTGGCTTGAGAGCTGGGCACAGCACTCCAGGAARGGGCTCATCAGAGTGGAGTACATGTCTGGAGTTGTAGCAAGCTGTTATGATGTTTCTTAGAAGGATTTTATGGAAGAGATAGCCAAGATCAACACTGTGAAGTGACTCTTTGACATTAGAATGCTACATCATCACTGCATTGAGTTTTCTGATTAGAACTATGGCTTTGTCGTATATATAAAAAGATACCAAATTGCTTCTAAAACATATCACTCAGACTCTATTATACCAGTGGTATTTTGTACATGTTTTATTATGAAGAATCGATGCAAGTGCTGTTTCAGTTGTACCATATTTCTGCACTTAATAAGAGTTAAAAATAGTTTTTGTGTGCTCTCACTTTGAGTGTCAACTTCATTGAAAAAATATGGTGATACTTCTGCTGAGGATATTAGTGTTTATTTCTTGCTACATTAAATGAAAATCAGAATAATTCCTTGTGGCTGATGTAATAAGGTGGTCAGTCCAAAAATTAAATCAGCTWAGTGGAGCTAAATTCTTTAATAGAACTTCATGCAGGGAGAAATTTCCCTAAATAAACACTATAATTTCTTTGAATAAAGTTTAGAAGTGCCATTATATTTCATCAAGATGGATTTTTAGCTTTCAACATCAGATTAACTAGTATCCTTCAAAATTCAGCTGTGGTATTTCACATGACTTACAGCAGCAATCTGTGAATCAGAACTATTTATTGCCGTGGCCTTGGCCATTTTTAGAGCTATGTGTGGGGGTTGGGCTGGAAAACAGCCTGGACTCAGACAGGGTCAAAACAGCGCAGACTCGAGCGGGGCTGACGTACCAGCCATGGAGATGAATGGGATTGGATAAATGAAAGTATTCTACCAATAAAAGACAAAAACGTGCTAGATAGAGATTGGAGAGTGCCCAGCTGTGTCATCTAGCTGGGACCTGTATAATTGGTTTGTTCCCTGGACCCGGGAGATAAGAAAAGTATATATAAAGCATGCTACTTGCTAGTGTTAGAAGAGAGCTGAATATCACTACAGAAGAGAGCTGAATATCACTACAGAAGAGAGCTGAATATCACTACAGAAGAGGGAGCTGATATCACTATAGGGGGAGCTGAGCTGATTTCACTATAGCAAAAAGAGCTGGAAGAGAAGACTAATAAAGAAGCACCTGGACCTGCCTGCCTCGTGTGTCTTTCCTGCTCCGGGGATCTGCGGGTGCAACGGGGCTCAATGAGGCAATTTCAACAATTTATACTAAAGTGTACTCACTCTTTCACTTGAAGTGATCCTTTGCTTCATCTCTCTTATGTGGTGCACTTCTCTTGCATAGAGAGGCTTCTCTCACAGAGCAATCRAAGCCAGTTGGCAGCTTCATTTCTAACCACAATGTCTTTAGGAGGTGAATTCTAAGACTGGTAACTTATAGCTAACTTATGCATTATTTTATTTTATTTTATTCATTTTTTTTTTATTTACTGGTTATCATGTTGTTAAGATTTACTTTGACTGAGGGAGAGGAAGTTCCATGAGGGTCGCGCAGCAGTGGTGTGGCGGTGATCAGCCACATGAAACTGCCTGAAAATTTTGCAGTTCTCTCTTCATGGTCTTCATATAAATGTTTAAAAAGCATGCTAGCTTTTGCTCCATGGAGTTTTAAAATTCATTTTTAGGTGAACACAGATRTAAGCCACAGGGGCAGTGTCTCCTTTCTGGACAAAGAAGTCTAAGGTTTGGTAGTTCTTGGAGCAAGCTCTTAGGAGCAGGCTTGTGGATGGAGGGCTCTAGTGTGCCCTTTGGGGACTCTTGTGTTTGTCTTAGGTAACAGGGTTAAAAAGACTTCCTGAACCTGTCAGCCAGAATGGAAGCAAATATATAAGGAATATTTAATATTTATTCTGAACGTAAAATGTTCCTGTGCTATCAATAAAAAAAAAAAGAAAAAAAAAAAAAGAAAAATTTGTGTGTAAGGAATGATTTAGAAAGAAAACCCAGTGCAGACCTCAGAAGTTTGTCTGGAGGATGCAGAGAAAAGTTCCTTTGTGCAAGATAAAGGATTTAGCATGATAAGGTTATGTTGACATATAAAGTTATTTCATGCTTTAGGAAGGAAAATAAAACATCTGAAAAGTATGTAAAAACACTAAAAGGCAGCAAGATTCCAGAACTGGCTAGATGGTTAAAGTGACTGGTGCCATGGAGTGGAAATGCATCCCTATTTCCAGTTAAAGACAGCTCTTAATTTTGCCACTGATTTCTGCATCCTGTATAATGGCTCAGTTAGTTATCAAAATAATCCTTCCAGAAGATTATCCAGAAGATCCAAAAAAGTTCTACCTGACTGGGAATCCATCCATGTGCCACTGGAAAGAAAAAGTAGTTTCTTAATGTGTAATTTACACATGCTCAATTTGTTTGGTTGGTRTTGGTTTGCAGCAGTTACTTTGGCATTGGTCCATAATAATAGGCCTCTTACATAAAATATTCCTATTTTTGCATTTAGTTTTTGATTTTACACCTGATTTGTAATATTGTAACTGATAAGAGGCCCTTGTGTTCATTTTCTTGTGACTGTGTATGTATGTGATCATCTGTAATCTCAATTAGTGGTGATATGACCATTATCCAGTTTTGAAATAAATGAGTTTAGAAAATAATTCCATGATAACAATGCACACTTGAAGAAACCTGAAAAAGAAAGTTTTATTACTCTTGCTTAATATCGTAAGTATGTTGACTTAAGTCTGTGTTTTARAAGAATGAAAAGGAAAATTTTATTTGACTTAGTATCTTTTTTTTTTTTTTGGAAGCATTCAGGAGGCAGACATTTCAATCTCCAAGATGTAGGCAGAATTTTTGCAACTCTTGCTTATAAAACAGACAGATATTTTATTTTTAATTTGTAAGTCATGTGTCATTTTGCTGTGGGGAAGAAAAGAACACTAAGGGAAGGGAAGTCTGTGTGGCTCCTTGCAGCTGTTCCAAGCACCTGTGACATGTCCCCTTATGATGGATTTTCCTTTCCTAAGGCAGATAGGCTTTTCAGAAAATCAGCTGAATTTTCTTACAGCCTCCACCAGAATGGGATAGCTTCTTTCTGCTCTGGGGCTGGTCAGAAAGTGAAGTCATGTGCGTTGCTCATATTGTGAAAAGAAACAAGTCTAGACCTTTGAGCTGATAATTCCCAGCCCATGGCTGCTCCAGATGGAGATGAGAGAACTCTCCACCCCTTCTTTGGTATTCCTAACCTCTTCTCTGTCTATGAACTGATGCCTTTCTGAAGAAACAGTGGGAAACGAATAATGGTATTTATTGTAAACACTTCAAGCATAATTTTAATACAGAAAAAACTTCCCTTTCCTTATTAACTTTCCTTATTTGTTGCCCTAATACAAAATTTACTTTAGTACTAAGTTTAACTCGCCTCTCTTGTTTTGTTTTGTTGGKTTTTTTTTGTTTGAGACAACTTAGCTCCGCTGTTTTTGTGGAGAGAGAATTAACCAAAGATAACATGCAACTAACTTAAACTTCCACAGAAAATATATCACACACTATTTTTCCAATGAAAAAAAAGTTGTAGATAATTCTAACTTTCTCTTTTTGAAAACTGAATTTATAGTTAGGAAGGACAGTGAATTAAAATTGTCAGTGCATTTTGGAAATTACATATATAATTTTATATCAGTTTGAAACCATAGAGTTTTAGAAATCAAAATCTTAATATAGAAATGAATAAATAAATAAATATTTATAAGTCAGATATTATAATACCCTTCAAATASAATTAGTAATAATTCAAAATAGTATGTGAATGTAATTGCAGTAAAATATGGCATCTTAGTATTCTTGCTTCAAGTCCCTGAGTAGCCTGCATAYCCCTTCTCTCATGTTGTACTTAACTGACAGTTCCTATTTCTCTTCTTATTTCTTGAAAGGTAGACAAAAACGTTCATTGGGTGGGTGGTTACCTTTTTGGTAGTTTTAAGTAATATTTTTAACTGTCCTTGCATTTATTACTTTGCAGAATCTGTTTGTCCGACAAGAATTCCAGTGGCAGCTCGAGATGAGAAAGGATTTGACATTCTTGTRGGATTAGGTGTGAAGAAAAAGGTTAAAAAGAGAATTCAAATACCGACCACTAAYGCTAAAGCTTATGAAGTAACCTCACGTGTTGACCTCTCAGAATTAACAAGGTATTAAATATCATAAATATGCTTCTATATTCAGGAAGATTTTTTTGTTTGCTGTGAGAAGGACTTACTTTAAGATTTATCTGAATGTTCAAGTGCTGTTTTGTTTTTCCCACCCTTCCCTCTTTTTTAGGAATGTGTTTCCAGAAGGTCTCCCTCCATCCTATGTGTTTGTTTCCACTCAAAGATTTAAAGTAAAAAAGACATGGGATTTATGGAGAATTCTGAGTTTAGATAAGAGACCACAGATAGCAGTTACTATTAATGGAGAAGATAAAACATTATCGTTCACTACAACAAGTTTAATAAATGGTACACAAGTTATTACTTTTGCTGCACCTCATGTAAAGGTAAGGAGTATGTCACTATTATGCTGGAATACTTCTTCAAGTTCACATTATTCCATTCTTCCTCTCTTTGTTTTATTGTTTTCTAGTATAATCTGAAGGTTCTTTCAGTCTTTCTTCAGTAACTTCCAATGAAGTCTTCCACTCATGTATGAAGGATTGTCTTAGCAGCAGATGAGACAGAGGAATGGAGATTGAATCACACTATTTTTGCCTTTGTAGCAGGATGTGAGCAGCCCAGAGATTTCCCTTCTTGCTACAGGGAGTATTATTTAAGTGAACAGAGAGGGCTAATTCAGCAGACAAAGACTGGGAAAGGTATGCTGCTGAAGCACGTGTTGGCCAAGTGGGTTCAGCTTTTCTGGGAAGTGGAGGCTTGCATTCAAATCCTTCCTACAGACTAGGCTGAAGGAATTTTACATATAAATCCTTGAAGGATTTTTAGATATAAATCCTTGGTGAAGAAARTGCTCACCCTATCCAAGGAATAGGTCTTAACTGTTAAGCTTTTTCTAGGTAGAGGTATTTTATATTCTGTTACTGGATGGAGAATTTTAGCTTTTTCTTCCCAAATTTCCTCTGCTTTTCTATAAWTATTAGTAGGCAAATTTTTTTTTCCTTTTGAGAAGCTTTGAAAATCTTGATTTACTGGAAACTGTTAGAAAATTCAGTTCCAAGTCAATAATTAATTTGTATTTATCTATTTCTGGGAGCTGTTTATTTAAGCAGTCCCGGGTATCCATGAACTTCACCAGAAAAATGCAACTTTTGTGGTTTTTATTTTTTTTTCTTTTGCATTTCTCCATGTTTGCCTTGCTATTATGGAGAACATAATGGTTCTTTTAGGCCTGTGTGTCTCTAAAGACTCTATAAATGTCTATATACTCTTAATGAACATTTTTCTTTAATAAACCTTTATGATTTATGAAAAATAATTACCATTATGATTTTATGATAATTTATCACTTTAACTGGAAAATGGAAATGTTATATATTCTGATCTGTTATCTGTTTTGTCTTATAATGAGAACCATTGCAAATAAACAAAAATACAACCTCAAAATAAAAGAGCAACAGAGGTGCTCTCAGTGTGTGCATGATTAAGTGAAGTTCGCTAAATTTCTATTGTGTTCTAAAACAGGTGATAGATTTATACCATACTGAAAGATGTATGTTTCAGTTTAGTCCTATGAATACCAATTGTGTGTGGGATTAATCTCTAGGGTAAGCTTGGTTGAAGAGCTAGATTATTTTTGAAAGCTTTAGAAGTCTGGGGTTTTGTGAGAGTAATGCTTGGTTTACTCATTGCAATATTTGGATTCTTTCTGCCAATATCACACTTTTGTTTTTATAAGAGATTAGATAGAATGAATTCCAAGTACCGATTTGTTTTCACAATGATTGAAGTGTTTGAGACATTATACCTCTGCTGAAGAATAAGTTTCTGGCTGCTTGTTTTTAACAAATACAGGTTTAAGCATATTCAAAGTCATAGAGTAAAAAAAAATCTGTAGGAGTTACAAAATGATTCTGAAATAGRGTTTAATTATTAGAAATTGTAATATTTTCAATTACAATATTACTTGGCAATACTTTGTGTATATAGTTTACAATTATTTGTGTGTAAAACATGTAACCTTGATAATCTTAACCATTAACAGTATTGATTGTTGAAATACATTTTTATTATTTATTAATATCTAAATTGAAGACATCTTTTGAACAATGCTGTTTTCATTTTTCTTAGACCTTGTTTGATGAAGGCTGGCATCAAATTCGTCTCTTAGTTACAGAAGACTCTGTAACTTTCTATATAGATGGCCAAGAAATTGAAACGAAGCCATTACATCCTGTTTTAGGTATTTACATCAGTGGCGTAACCCAAATAGGAAAGTATTCTGGAAAGGAGGAAACAGTACAGGTAGGCATATTCTAAAAGTACAGTAATTCAGTAATTGTTAACTTTGGAGGTTAACATTGCAYGGCGTTTTCTGTTTCTTGAGCTCGCACTTCTAGCTTGCAATAGGTTGATATCTATTATATAACATTTTAATACTTAAGAGAGAATAAAAATGGTCCAGAAGACTTAGCACAACTGATGTATCCTGTGACGTGGACTCCTAATTGGTGTCACTGATTTCAAAGACTAAATTGATACAACATGGTTGCCTGAATTTGGGAAACAATGTCTTGAAGTAGGGAATTTCCTCTGTGCATGATATTTGCACATTCTTTCCTTCCATCAGTGTMTGGGTTATATGTGTGAAAGAAGAAAATTTTAGTGAAGTTCCGTTCTCCTTRCTTTGCAGTCATGATAATTTATGCTAGAAAAACTGACAGTGATTTCATTTTTTTTTAAATATATCAACAAAGCAGAATGGCCAAAACTTTTGTTTACCTGATGCCAGTGTTTTTATTGGTTACTTTTTAAAGATTTATATTGTATACTGAACACTAAGCATTAGGGATACTTTCTGATACTTCACCAGAATTTACTAATCCTGGACCTAATATGAGCAGGTCTGTATAGAAGTGTCTTCCCAGGTCTGTTACGGTAAAAAGAAAAAGGTTGGGTTTGCCTGTGCTGTAGTTTCCTCAGTGATATTGGCAGGCAGTGTAGTTCGTGATGCATGTGTTTGGATTTATTGCCAAGGATGGTGATTTCTGTTACTTAAAAAAATCTTGGATCRATTATTTTTATTTAAATAATTMTGTTATCATATGTTTAATTGGTTGCGTGTATTAATCATTGTGAATAGTCTGACTAAAAATATTTTTATATAAATTGATTTTTAACTCTAGTGGACACACAGACCTCTAAAGAGTCTTTTATGTTTGGAATTACAGTTTGAGTTACAAAAACTGCGAATCTACTGTGACCCAGAGCAAAATAACCGAGAAACAGTCTGTGAGATACCAGGATTTGTGAGTATGATAGATGAACTTTAGAGGATTACTTGGTGGTTTTTTACAAATCATTGTTTAAAGCTGACCTAATGAAGTTTTAAMATAAGTAATACTACAGGGATTCAGCTGGTGCAAACACATGCTTRTTACGTGTGCAATATCAAGTGACACAAACCTTGTCTGTTTTCAGCCTTATTTTTTTCACAAAGTTTTTTAGAAGTTGTTTTAGGTGTTTGATGGTGTAAATCTCAGTCCTCTCTTCAAATTTCAAATTTTAAGCATTATGGATTAATAAAATTTATAGATTTTTTCAGTGTAAAATTCTTTRAATATGACTTTTGAACTTTTCTGATACACTCTTTGCTACTTGTCATGTCATTTAATATCTGAAATGTTGGTACCTAACCAGCAAACYTGTATTTCTGAAGCACCTTCTTGTGTTAGAAGTATCTACACTGAGGTCTGTGATAAATATCCTGTTATCTGAAATGTTGCCAAGATTTCAAGATGTTAAGGATAAGAYAGAAAAAGATCAGGATTTTATGATTCATGTGCACCATTAAGAAGTTTATAGGGACCTTTTGGCCCTCTTTTTGCCCTCTTACAGTTAATTATGCACTGAAATGTAAAACATATACAAACAGATTTGGAAACCAGTTATGAATTATAGAGCCAGATTTAAACATTGAGTTCCCATCTCAAAGCACGAGCAAGAGATTGATTTGTACATAGGATTCAAAATACTCTCCTTTATTTGGTGTCTAAATCAAATGGAGCTAATGATTATCCGCCACCAGTGTCTTACTGTTTAGTCCCACATTCCAAATGTTGTGATTTGATTTTGTATCATTTTGTCAGTTTGACAATAGCACCATTGAATCTCCAGTGTCCAGATTTTATTTTTTGTCAGACTGGCATGGATTGCCAGCTAGTCCGTTTTTCGTCTTTTTATTTGGGGCTAGCATGTCTATTGCATCCTTGTAAGGACTTTTTCAAAATTCACAACTTTCAATCAAGCAGCAGCTAAGTGACTGGATTATTAGCTRTTCTGAACTCTRACTCTGTGTGTCAAGATCTAATKGGTGCAGGAACACTTGTAAAATGARCTTTAAATCTTGAAGAAAATAAAATATTTGGCTATTTGACTGCATCACTTATCTTTCTGCTCTTTTCAAATTAAAAATAGGATATGAGAAGAAATAAAATGAAAAATATTTTGCTTAAAGAAACCAAACACTGAAGTCTGTCATATCTTATGTTCTCTGCAATTTATCAAGGAGTTGAAGCCAAAAGATTGGTTTTTGCTATTTTCGTTTCATTGTCTGTTGTTGTAAATTAAATTTGGCCTTTACCCATGAAATTCTGTAGTCCTTCAGAAAATAAAAATGTTGGATGAACTTCAAGGWGGAATATATGGTTTGTGGTTGTATTCTGTCAGAGTGTGGTTGTGTCAGAGTTCCTGAAATAAGCAGAGGCTGTGTGTACTAATTACAGCCCAAATTAGTCCCCTTTCCCAGAGATACCTAKCTGCACAGTAATTTKAAGCTTCTCTRTGATCCRTGGAAAATGATAATTTTCTCTAGGYGTTGTTAAAACTGAAAATTGAATACAGAGGAAGCTCTTTCTGTCCACAGAGTGTGTATGAAATCTGGACTATGTCCATTAGAATACTCCTGTGGTCAGTGCAGCTAATGCTGGCTACTAAACTATTAAGACAGACAATTTCATGGTTGTTCTGCTGAAGTATTTGGGGATGGATTTTTCTTWAGTGTTGCAGATACTGGAACAAAAAACAGTTGATAGCAGAGTCTAATGCAGTCACAGGAAACGGAGAAAAAGTCAGCCTTGCCTCTGTGCTGCTCTGTGTTTTCCCAGATGCTGGATTCAGGCAGGGATCAGAGATTTCAGAAATATTTGGGTACATTCTCTGACATGAATGAATAAGCAGMGGATATTTTTGATGAGAGCTTACTTCTGGTAAATGGTTTGACCAAAATCTAAACATTTAGTGTGTAAATATTGACATGGTTTAGTATTAATTTCATATGCACTGATAGCAGCTGCACATAAGTCTCAGAAAGTCTAAATATTTGAATTATTATTTCTTGACAGTTACAGCCCACAAGTTATGATAGGCTTTGATAGTGTTTATAAATGAATGAATTTTGCTTTTTACAAATATTGCTCTACTCTAAAACTGTGTTTTTTCTTGTTTCAGAATGGAGAGGTAGGCTTGATCCTAAACTACTCAAACTCAGTTTAAGGTAGTATTTGACTTTATATAAGCTTCTTAATATTCTAGGTAATATATGCTTTMTTTTCAAAAGAGGACAGAGATTTGCTAAGCTTGAGTGCTGGATCTCCCCTGCTTGAACTAATTTGTCAGTAGACAAATTAAAAATAATCTTTTTGCAAAAACACATGTTTATTAGAATAAATGGTCTGATGTTTTCCCCTAGTTCAATTCAATTTTCAGGGCTGGATGCCTGCAAAGGGATGGGGGGTATGCACAGTCAGGTAGCTGTTACCTGCATTGTACTGATGGGAACTCCCYGAACAGGAGTTTATCTGAAGGCTTAATACGACAGCTTCCCTAACCTTCTTTGCAACTCCCAATTTGTACCATTGCAAAGGAATCACAGATTCATGTTTTGATCAAACATTTGACCCTGAGAAAGAATTTCATTCAAAAACATCTTAAAAAGTGTCATTATTTTAGAAAATATGAGTGAAAYGCTATGGAAAGTTTTAGATAATAAATACAAAATCTGTTTTTTGTAGCTTGCATTCTTAAACTTTTGCCTTTCCATAGCTCTAAAGACTTGCTGGCTTAGGGCTGCTGGGTGAAAAAGAATTCACTGACTCTAACTTTAACATACTGCTTTAGCACAGATTTGTCTATAATAGATTTGATTTAGTAGCTTTCCCCTTGCCTGCCATAGTTAAGCATTGAGGTTTTATGTGGGGCTTAATGGTGAGAAGTAAATATCACAAAAAAAAAAAAAATTCCAGAGGGTTATGTGATCTGCCTAGGTTCAGTGTTTACTGCTGCAGGGGGCATGGTTTGGAGGAGGTCAGCTAATGGTCTTTGTAGGATGGGCACTCTTGGGACCAGGACTAGTGGCCTGTAGGAGTCAGTGGTACCAGCTGTGTCCTGCCTCTCCTCAAGTAGCTTCGTAGTTGGAACACATGCCTACGAGGTAGGAGACTTGGGTTTTATGATCTTTTCAGGTTTGCTACACATGACAGCATGCCAATGGTTGGGTTCATTATGCTCTACATATTATTCATTACATTCTTTTACAAATCTTTTAACTAAATCGTTGTATTTGAGAATTGATCACACTTCAAATTATAAATATAAATTAGCTAGAAGAGTTTTTCATGTTGCAAGATTTAAAATTATCCAAGTATATGACAGATTATTTTTGAAAAAACAGTTGTTACAGGTATCAGCCCAATATCGGTACTTTTTTTTTGTTGTTTTTATTTTATTCTGGGTGAAATTATTTCATGCCTGAAAAGTAGGTGGAAGGCAATATTCAGATAAGCAGAAGTTYCAGATGAACAATGGAGTGAATGCCAGGACCTAAGTGAAAGCCAGCCTAAGGAAAATCRGCTTCATATGGTGTTAGGATATCTTTGTTGACTGCTTTTGGCATATGGGCTGATGGCTGTTTTCACTCTTGGTAGTGCATGAATGGTCCCAGTGATGTTGGCTCAACTCCTGCTCCCTGCATATGCCCACCAGGAAAGCAAGGACCTCCAGGCCCCAAAGTAAGTCTCTCTTCYGTCTCGTTGAGCATATATGACCTGTGTTTCCTTGCTGTCCTTCAGCAAATGATGTTGCACTGTTAGYTGTTTGAGGATGAAATTATTTTCTAAGAGAACTCTTTTAATGGAGAGGGTAGTTTCTTCTTCCTTTGTAAAAGAATTAACTGGATCTTTCTGGGAGAGTTYCACTCTCCCATTAGCTGTACTGATGACCTGAACTGAGAACTAGACTTGAGTTGCAGAAGTCTAACATGGCAAGCACAAATCCCCAGTATTTTGCTTTAGTACCTTTCTTAATAATTCTGSTAAGCAGTGCTTACAGAATTATTTATAAGTGTAGACAAGAAAACCACAAATAATTTCTCTTTCATTAAGCAAATAAATAAAAAAAATCTGTCATAATAARAGAGGTTACATAAAAGAGGTAGCTGTAGCTACCTCAAGTCGAAGGGCTTCTTGATACAGTAGAAAAGGTTCCTGACCAGGGAATTGGAATCCACAACAAAGAGATCATGATTATTGTTTCATGTAATAGAATTTCTGTGGTCTTTTACCTTTTCTATTCTCTGYTTTGTGCTAATTTTAAAATAATCCTATAATTTTAAAATACTTAAAATGTGTTCACATGTTGCTTCTCCATAGGGTGACCCTGGGCAGCCTGGGAATCATGGTTATCCTGGCCTGCCTGGTCCAGATGGTAAGCCTGTGAGTACTAAAAACTTAGTCATATATTGTAAATGTAAAAGTAACAGGAGAAAAAACATGGAACACTGATACCAGATTTTCAAATTTAGATGATTTTGTCTCCATTCTTTGAAACTGAATGTCATTTAAGCACTGTCTGCATGTAACTGTTCTATGAATATGTTAATAATATTGTTTTTGTTTCAAGAAAAATACTGGAAATATGAGTTAGGTACAGGCTATGAGTGCTCTTGTTGGTCTTTGCATTACTTTGCCGCAGTTATGTTATCACCTTCAGTCTTTACTCCTTAAGAATTTGTTCACTAGAAAGCACTTCAGGGCACCTAAAGTACTGTCTGTTTTTCTTAGGGATTGCTTCTTGGTTCATGTAATTTCTTTGTAGGCTACCTCAACTAATCCATTGAAATATGTAAATATACATGTAAAATGTTAAAARCATGGATATTTTTTAGTTCCAAACTGCTTCATTAACTGTGGTGATTCCATTTGTAAGTGGTATTAGTTTAACAAAAAGTAAATAGATGCTGAAAACAAGAAATGTAATTGTTTCTAAAAATTGAAAATTTCTGTTTTAACATATGGGACTTGTTAMTATTGAAACCTGACCATGGTAGCCCTGATGGCCTAGATGAGCAGTGCATACATKAATTTTTCATCAGTCCTACAGACAAATATCCTCATTTTTCCTCTGATACAAAAATGATTCTAAACTTTTGCTAATCTTAAACAGCTTTTGATACCTATTATCTTCAGAGCTTTTTTGAACCAGAACTGGAGAAGACAATCTCAAYTGAAATTATCAGTGCTTTAAAATACTGCATTTTGATTTTAGACAATCCTGAAAATACAGGTTTTAAAGTGGGAGGTGGGAAAGTGTATTAATCAGAGTAACTTTTCAGYTGGTAATTGGTGGTTCTTAAGCTTAAGAAGAGTAGTTCTGATCTCCTATAAAAGAGTGGAATACACACTGTAAACTCAGAGTTTCATGGGAGAAGATGTCCATCAGAGTTTGACCGTGCTGATTTCTGTAAACAGATTTGCACTATTGATAAGCACAGTAGCGCTACCTTTAAGCCAGCTAAGTCTGATATTTTGAAAAATAGAGTGATACCATGTAAGCTTTAATGAAGGTAGAACAGACTGGATATTGCAAGGGAAATGTCAGTTTTTCTTCTGTCTTTTACCACACATATTAAGACTTCATTTCTGAAGTGTCTGGTCAGCTACAGCGGTATTGTTTTAGAAACAATTTATTATGACTGTTTCATACTTTTATGAACAGGTTACCACTTCAAGGCTATTTATCTTCCCATAAGCACTGAAATTTGTAACAAYATGAATTATAAAGGAGAAATAAATTGATACTGGAGAACTACTGTAACTTTGTAATCTGGCAGTTATGGCTTCTTTTTTCCTGTAAGTGAGTCCTAATGCGCATAGRTGGGCATTCTCTGAATTTAAAAAAGTATCTCGGAATGAGAATCAAAAAGCCCCACTAAAGGAGAAATTGTATCACTTTGCTGAAGAACTTATTTGAGGTGCTTACGGTTAAATCCTATAGTTTTATTAACTGATTAATATTTCTGAAATATCTGTTGTAGTTTTTGCACTTGTTCTTTGTAAGGAGATAATTGCAAACCAATTAGATCATCTGCAGCTCTGGCCAACACATTATCTTTTCTTACAGTAGATTCTAGGGTACATTCCAGGCAACTTTTTAGCCATGAATAATGAGACACCTYTTAGATAAACTTGCAGGATAACAGATTCCTCTCTCTGTCTTTTTCTTTCTATTTTACATTTGTATTTGCTGATACAACTTGCATGTTTTCTGTGCTGTCTGTGATTTTTCTTTTATGGGGAAGCTTTTCTCATACGATTTTTTTTAGCTTTATATCCTGAGGAACTTGGAGAAACAAGCTTTTAATTCAGACAGCACTATAGGCTATCAGGTAGTTTTGTAGTCAGTCGTGTTTAATCAAATGGCTTTTGCCTAAAAAACTTTCCTGCAAAGTCAGTCTTTTCTGTTTGGAAAAATATTTTTATGTTCTTCTCTAAAGTATATTCCAGTTTGCCTGTTTGGTATTAATTTTCTTGGAACAGTTTAACTGGTCAACAAAATGTTTCTTCCTCTGAGAAAGGTTTTAGGCATGCATTTGTATTACTATATGAACCTGATTTTTAAAGTAAAACATGTAATAAAATTTAGGTTATTGTTTGTGGGCTGGCTAGATTGTTCTAATACTTAAAGTTATATTTAGTCCAGAAAGATTTAAAGAAAAATCCTGGTATCTTCAGTCTTACGAGAACATAATTGTTTACCCAATGTTGTCCAGTAAAATTGTTTCTCTAATATTTGGGCAAGTGAACATAAATATGACTTACTTTTAATAATTTCATAAATGTTATTTTTATTAGTCTTATTTGGAGTATCTTTGGGTTTTTTTCCCTTTAATTGCCACCTGTGTTTATTTTCTGATATGAACAGAAAAGATCAGTTAAAGGAACTGTAAAAAAGCATGAAAGTGAGGAGCATAAGTAATGAAAATACTTTTTTTTTWAAATCAAAAATGTAATTCAGAACCTGAAATTATTAAATTGTCAACAGAAAAGCACTGGTGAGTAAGTACAAGGATAAAAATAGCATTTGAATCTCAACTGGAATTAATTTTAATTTTAATAATCAGAAAGAAGCAGTTGGAATGATTGCTGGCCCTGGAAGCGCTCAGCAGCCTGACTGTGTGGTCATGAATCCACTTTTTATTCCGAAAGATGCTTTGTATGTACTGGGAAAGAACTCAAGTAAAGGGGAAAAATAAATTATTAGTATCTATGCAGTGATCACTTGTGGTTAATAGGTTATCAGTCTGCTGACAGAAATTTAAAAAAACCCACTTGTCCATTTTTAACTATGAACCATGCAGCTGGCAAAACTGAAAATTTTACAGTATTCCATCTAGTTTCATTTGTGAAAGTCTGGAATAATTTGCCWTGTCTTTAAAGTGTGTACAAGAAAATAAGGAATGAGAAAAAAATAAGCAATAAAGTCTGGTAAGACTGAATTTACTTATATATGCAGATATAGAGTTCATAAGGTATCAAAAGCCTCACGTAATAAGTAATTTTTTATCATTCCAATATATTTTTTTAAAGATTATAGAACATTATTACAGTAGTATTACCTAGAGTTTAATATTTGGTGACCAACTGAAGGMCAAATCTTTTATGATGCACTTACATACTAGCAATGGCGAGCTATTTCAACAGTCCTTTTGGAATAAAAATGGGTAATAGTTTCACATATACATGGAATTCCCTATGCTGTTGGACGGTTTGCCTGGGATTTATAAATTCTGCAGCTACTTTTCTCAGAAAATTTTCATAGACGGAGTTAATAATTCAGCTGTGAAATGCTGCTCTCAATACCAGAAAAATATGTATTCCTCAGTTAACACTGTGACCTGGTTATTGTTAGAGGAAATCTTTTTGTTCCATTCTAATACAGTCATGTATTAGTCATGTATAGGCTTCCCTGAGACAAAATAGTCTGAAATCAGAGCAATGCCTGATGCTKACTGGAGCTGCAGAGACAGCTATAGAGTTCAGACAAATGACCACATCACTACCTGCAGCAGCTGCCAAAGGCAGAGGATATGATAAGGATGAACATCTAAACAGTGAGCAGGAAGTTAGACTCTCTTGGTACATCATCCTGTCTCCCACAGCCTGAAGCTTGGGAACTTTTAAAACTGGATTTAGGACCAGTTCATTTAATGAACTTGATGGGTCTTTTTTCCTCTGTGGTGASAACATTGTGTTCAGATGTAATATACCGCTAGGGGCTCTGAGTTATGAAGGCCTTGGCAGATGATGAARTAGCTAATGGAGGAAAGTGTAATGAGATGGAGAAATAGTAAACATGGACACATATCTGAATAGTTATAACAATTTCTGTCCTGTAAGAGGTAATGTATTTTATATAAAGAGTTTGAAGACTTGTCTTGTAATGCTTTAGATAGAGTTCATTTAATAATTTCATGAAGGAAACTTTGACAAGAGGTCTGCAGATCTTTCAGGGTGTTTTTCTACACAGAGTTAAATTTTCCTTTTGCAGTTGAATTCCATTATGCTTAATRCACCACCCTGAATAGTTCTTTTTACTTAGTGTTCGCAGTCCTTCAGTATTTTCAGACCAATACTGTCCATCCTTGGTTTCTTCCAAGCCAAACTGAGCTTGCTTACTTCTCCATTTGTCTTTCCCAAGTAGTCCTGTGTTCATGCCTTTGTCATTTATTTTGTTCATTGACTCCAAGAGCTTTTTAYTAATGAAGTGTGCAGTTGTCATTGACTTATCCATCCATCCTCTATTTTTACTTTTGTATTTATCAGATGGGATGCACCTATGAATGCTGTCTGAACTTTTGTCCTCCATGCAYGCAAGTGTTTTGGAGATACACTTCTGAGGTTTACAGGGCTATTGCACCCAGAGTTCTTTGGAATTAATACTTGTCATATGCCCTTCTTGCTTAATTTTTTCCTTTACAGGCAAACTAAGTTTTTGGTTTTTTTTTCCAGTAAGGCTCTTAATTCATTGATGATGACAGTATTACTAATTTGTTTTGTCCTTTGTGTAAGTTCTTTGACCTAAGAAGCATGTTCAGTTTTTTCCTTGGAACTATTGGTAAATTATTGCAATTTTCTTTAAATTCCAAAGTTTTATTTTATCTGTGATTTTTTTCAAATACTCAGCAATCTGGGAAAAATCTAATCTCGATGTTCTGCTATTTATCACTTTCCTTCTAAGGATTTTTAGGCACTAGAAAATGATCAGTACTGTTCTCACCCACAACAAACTGAGAGCAAGATTTTGTATAATCCTGATTTTAGTTGAACTGATGTAAAATAGTGAATGAGAATATAAACAAAGTGATGTGGATAAATGTTGACTGACAACATTGATGAAACATTATTGGCAGGATTTACCTAATATCACATACATCTAGTATTTAAATGGGTACAGAGACACAGGGTGTCTAAATTCTCATAATAGTCAGCAGGTATTTAACTAATATACCACAAGAGGTATAGGATTTGTATGCTGTAAGATATTTTGTCTTGCCCACACTGCAAGACAATTAATGCCTGCCAAATATTTTATGCCACTGTCTTCTAACACTGGCTGGGTGTCCTAGGAATCTCAAATGGCAGGGGCTACTATGATTAGGTGACTAGATTCAAAACTGAATATCAAATTCAGAGTTAACTATAATACTTCTCATGCTACTTGTGTGTCTTCTGAGAAGTTCATGAGAGAAGATGAAGCCCAGAATAAAAAGTATTATTTTTGGTGTCAAACTTAGCGCATTCACCTTATTTGWAAGAGAACCTGCAGTCCTGAACTCTTCAGCTGAAAAGGGAATTTTCACATCTGTCCCTTTTACATAAAATGGGAGCTATGGCACTGCTATTCTTGCAGCATATGTATGTATGTCATGTAGGTACTTCTACTGAGGGCTTTGTGATTAGGGAAAGAGGATTTGAGCTGACTTTAATGCAAAACATTTGTCGGTACTAGCATGTAGATTGATGCTCCATGCTGCAAATGGAGTAATAATACAAATATATACTCGGTTTTATGAAATCTGGGTATTTTTATTTTATAAAATGTGGTTTTTAACTTGTCCAAACAATTGCTATGTTATTTGTATTGGATAGTAATACGAATTTTTGTGACTTTCTGTGAATTTCCTTTTGAATCTTCTCTCTTCCAGCTTTCCATTAAAAGAGCACATTGACATTGTGTTTGATTTGTATTGAAATCACATTACAGTATTTAGCCCTGAGCTAAATATGCAGATTGGTCTCTTCTGCTGTCCTCCATTCATCTTGTGATTTTGAAATTGAGTTCAGCCAGGAAATTGTCCTCCTCTACTTCTTCCCCTGCTCAGTTAGATGGGGAAGGGAAATTGCATCGCAGAGATCTAAATTATGAAATAGTTTTATTTGTATAGAATTATATCCTACAGAATGTCATATCATTTTTTTTCTTTTTTTTAGGAGAAAAAAWTAGATAAACTTTGAAAAGCATTTTCTGATTTGATGAATTATTTCAGCTATCTGGGAGGCCCATAAGCACTCTGGGAATACTATACCATTTACAGTTAAAGCTGATTTTGCTAGAACTGCCTTGAGCACTGAAAGTAAAATGCTTGATAAAGGATCTATGTATGATAGATACCTAGAATTCTGTTTACTTCTATATTAAACATTACCAGCTGGCTCATCGGGCAACTGCTCAAATGTCTTTTGGGAAGAGGGCAGAGCAAGGACTCTCTTGTATCTAACCCAGCAAATAATTTTAGCTCTGTTTATTATTCCTAGGAAGCTCTGACTCATTTAAAGAAGAAATCAGACAAACACATTTCCCTCCTTGTACTGAACAGGTTCTGTTAGCTCCTTTTTACCAGTGTGGAAATCACCCCAGGAAATTTGGTGCTAAGATTTTAAGATTGAAACCCATTTGGAAATAGGATTATTACTTCTCTCAGTTCAAATCAAGATTGAATTCTGGGTATTTGAAATTGGATAGCCTATTTATTAGGACTTACAAATTTATTTTTGTCTGCTTGTTGAAATGTCTGAACCAAATAGCCTCAGAATATTACAGAACAATTTCTCTTCTTGTTTTATATGTTTTCATGAAAAAAATTCTTTTGGTAGCTCATTTTGTCCATTGCAAGGACATGTTTTTAAATGAACTATGTAAARTTCTTATTCTTCAATAATTTACCTCCCTTAAAGGATTCTTTAAAGAATTAATGGTTAATTTTGAATGAAAACTGGCTATCTTTGCTGCACTAATTGAATCAAATCTACCAAAACATAGACATGTATTTTGGATTCTGTAAATGTTCCCTTGTTCTGCCAATGTATTTCTAGTAAAGCATTCCTGAAATTCTCTTTTCAACTCATGAATTATTTAGTATTTCTTCTTGTAGTCCCAGTCATTCAAATTATTTTTTTTATTTGCATAGCCTGTTATATACCTTCAAGTTCATAACTAAGTGCTTAGTATCAAGAATGGAATTTTTATTATTTAGAGATATTATAAAACTAGCTCCATAATGTATTAGAACATAYCTTGTTTGTTGAAGCTGATTCCGGTAACTGGATATAAGCCTTTAAAATCCTGGCATGTTTCAGCTATTTTTCTTAAGAGGGAGAGAAAAAATGTGTCTACATATGTGGATTAATTTATCTTTTTCTTTTTCCAGTGGAAAATAAAACAATATGTTTGTTATGCTTTTGTGTAACAATTCCAAAATAACTGGTTTTAGCTAAAGTCTGGAGGCTGAGAACTTCAGCTGCAGATATGAAAGCTTTTGAAAGCTGAAATCTAAATCCCAAATGTATGGTTGTCATAACAATTGCTAAAATACCTGACCTAAAATTATAAGTTCTCTTAGTAAGCAGGATTGTTTTTTCTTTAAATAGGTGTTTGAATATTTGTTTATGTTGCTTTTGAAAAGTCTTGGTTCTTTTCCTTAGGGATACCAGGGATCAGTAGGAACTCCAGGTATCCCAGGAACTCCAGGGATTCAAGTGAGTTTCTGTTTCATTCCTAGAATTTGAATATCTGAGACAAATTCTGTCAAGTATCTTTCAATATACATTGTTTGCCATTGAGAGTTGAGGTGTGGGGAATGAAGAAGGCTCAAGGGGTGTCTTGAAATCGGGGGCCATCCTTGGGTGAATTGCTTTGAAATTCACATGGCTTTGGGGTTTGCAGGTAGGCTGACAATTAGATGGCAAATCTAAGCAGTGCTATGTAAGGCCTCCAGAAGATGGACTCAACTTCTGGAGCAGTTAGACATTTTTGTCCCAATCCAGAAGCCAAACAGTATTCCAGTATTCCTTCAATTTTTCTGTGAATCTCTAACAGTGATCTGAATTCTTGTCAGGGTGACAGATGGCCCACAATTCACACATCAAAACAAGGTTTCACATAAAGCCCAGAATGATGGAGCAGAATTATTTTTCTTTGTTTGTTGTATTAATTTAGTAATCCTTTGAGTAGTCCCTTGTTTGTTGTATAAATTTAGTAGTCCTTTCTGAGGCAGTTGTTGAAAACCAGTGCTGTATTTTACCTGTGGCCTGATCCAGTCTGGATGGTAGTTAAGGACTTAACTCATTTGTTGAATTAAATATCTGAGAGCATGTCTGGGCTAAGGGCGAGCCTGCAACATGGCATATGTGGAGGTTGTCTGGTGGACAACTGAAGGGACATCTCTGGGCTAGCATAGGCTGTGTGACATTCTTTTTTTCTCCTGGRGTGGTCCTTGGTTGGAACAAAAAATTGTTTCAGTGTCCTCAGTCATGGGTTATGACAGTGTGCTGTGTTCAGCCATGCTGGGTACATATCATGCTTGGTTCTGCTCTTGTGTCCAGTTACTAAAATGTTGTAATCAGGCAGCTGACACATTGGTCTTTGGGCCATGTTGTGCTACATTTCGTGTCTCATTTTATATCAGATTGTATTAGTATTTGAGCTGATGTTCATTTCTTTCTCAATCTAGGGACCTCGTGGCTTGCCAGGTATCAAGGGAGAACCAGGAAAAGATGGGGAAAAGGTAAAAGAACCCAAATAAGGGTAATAGATAAGAAGATTTTACTCTTAACTTTTATAAGTTTTGGTTGTACAGGTAATAATAACAAAATATTCACCAGTGTTCTGTGAGAACTGTTTATTGAAAGGATGATAAGGAAGAACTAAGAATCCTAAATTTAAATTCTGAATCTAGTATGCTTTTTTTAATAAAGTTTAGCACTGCCAGTAACAACTYCATTTCTCTGAATAACATATATTTAGAAACTGTATCTAATTAAGGTTACCTGGAAGCACAATACAGACGTGTCAAAATGGTTTCTTTTTAACTCTTTTCATGCTTTTTCTCTTTAAGTGAGTATCCAGATGATATACATAGGAATTCCTGAATTGCCCTTTTTATCAGAAAACACTTACTAATTGAAACCAAAACTTTTTGTGGAAAATTCTGGCTGAGGTGTAGCTACTAGCTTGGAGCTACAGATAGATGTTAAAGCTTATATGTTACTCTGTTCTGGTAATCARGATAAAGTTGACTCTGGATCTTCTGAATACACCGTGAACTGGCCATTGGCTATTGGCAAGTCTTATTGATATGTAAATATCTGTGTCCATCCTTCTCTCACGTTTCTGCCCTATGCTCTAAGCTGATTGTGATGACAGTTATTTTGGTTTTGGCTTATTAAAACTTAAAAGCCTTTTCTATAAAGCAAGCGCTTGTTTTCCCAACAGATTTTAGAATTTCTTTCTAAAGTTTTTAATGAGCAAGTTCTTAAATTCAACACTGTTCTGCAGAATTCTCAAATTCATGGTTAGAGTTGAAAAACTGCTTACGTGTTCTGTGCTTCAGCCATCTCAATCTAATTAATTTTATAACTTAATGTAATTGATCAGTCAGTATTGGCCAGTCCGTAAAAATTAAGATGCTGCTGCTGAAAAACTCTAATTGCCTGGCAGTGCAGGGTTGTGACAGATGATAGAATATTTCCTATTGCTCAGTCTAGCCTTGTTTAAAATGTGCCAAGAAATAGGGCTTCCACCACTGTTTTAGAGAACATTTCCATTGTAAAATAGGTCTTGCCATTAGAATTTTTTTCCTGGAGTTGCATCTCTTTATTTCATCCTAATACTTGTAAAGTTTCTCTACTACCTAATTTAAAACTGTTTCAGTTTCCAGATGTTTTAGTTTCTCCAATAATTGATCCACCACTTCTGAGCAGAAATTGAGACTCCATTCTTTTTTGTCAAGAAGCAATGGATTCATGAAGTGTTAGTTTTATAACCTTTGCTGATTTTTGAACTCCATTCCATTGTCTGCTTTTAATATTTATTTTTGAGAGATATTGTGATAGCATTCACCCACAAGCTATCATTCATGTGGCATGTTCCTGCCTACTGCAAATATATGACAGGCCTCTCCAAATCTGCTTAGGCATGAATGACTTTGATAAACAGTAGTGAGACATGTTTTCATGGTTTAACCCTTGTCTTAGAATTTTAAATATTATATGAAATAATTTTCTAAGCATAGTTTACTACTCCTCCTATGTGACACAAATATATTAAAGAAATTTAAATATATTGTTCAATATAGAAGTAGATATTAACAGAAAGAAAATGTTCTGATTGTCCAAAAATGATTTTGTGATTGGCTGTTTTCTCACATGAAGTAGATATTTTCTGCTGAAACAAGCAACTAGGACTGGTTTTATTCTTTCAAGTCAAGTAGTGACAAGTTGTAATTTAGGATTTTGTTATTATTGCTCAAGGGCACATGCAGACAAATTATCTGTTAAATATCTTCAGTACCAGAAGCAAAAGTTTGAAATTCTTGATATCYGACACCTCTGAGAACAATAAAAAGAGCTGATCTTTTGCCTTGTCTTTTCAATTACCAACTGCTTTTACCACTGTGGATTCTTTCTTCTATTAAAATGAGACCTCATGTGGCAAATTGCCAAAGTTGTTTTGTAAGTGTATTTTGGTTTAATTTTTTTTTCTTTTTTAGATAATGTATGTAATATCTTATTTTTTAATACTTTACTCATCCAGAATAAGCTATTAAGAAATTTCATAAGGTCAGTAGGTCTTTGGTATTTTCAGAAAGAGGCAGTAGCAAAGCCATTTCAGATCTAGGGAATTTCCTTATTCTTTAGGAATTAGGAAAGGATGGTAGAATTGTCACAGCTGCTATAGAGATTAGTTTTTTAAATCTTGTGAAACTAAATTGCTGCTTTTGAACCACCATAATACTTAYTAAAATTACAGTAAATTTAGATTAAAATTTAATGATTGAGCTCTTTCTTTTATGTAATGAATTTTGTTTAAAGATCAAAAAAACACTTATCAATCATCATACCAACGTTATGAAGTTGATGTGTTACATATTTCCACTATTTGCTCATCACAAGAATATGAATGCTATTATAGTGTATTACCACCAAAAGTGATACAAGGATTTAAAATAYGTTTGCTGTTTCAGGGTGACAGTGGACTGCCTGGTTTTCCTGGATTACATGGGATGCCAGCACCAAAGGTTGAAATTAAATATTTCTTGTTGCAATATTACTGTGTTTCAGCTTGCTCTGTAGTTTAATTTAAAGGGAAAATAAGTCTATATACAACACAATGCCAGACCATTTAATGAATTATTTAACATTAATAGATATGAAGATGATATTTAGGAAAGACACAGGCTGTGGGACTTCATTGCATAGATATCAAACAGTAGAAACCAYCTGTTTTTCCATTTGTGTTCTGCTCTATGGGATTTCACATTAATTTAATTTTACTATTACTTAAAGGATTCTTCATCACAAATAATGTTTTCAAAAATAAAAGTAATTTTATTAATTTCTTATCATTCTACTTGAGGGACAGCATTTGGAAGGCTAGTTCTGGTCTATCCCAGTGATTTTAGTTCGCATGTGTGTTCCCCAAAACAATTTCCTCCATATCTTTTGCCCATCTATTCAGTATTCAACTGAATCTAYTTCTTAGTTTTTCAAAATTTGTGTTATTAACTCTTCAAATAAGGTCTTCAGAAAAGTTCAGCTCTTTTCAAGGAGCTGAATTTTCACTTACATTCCTACCTATATTGAAGTAATGAGAATCACTAAGTGCCTTCATAAAAACTGCAGGCATTAAGACTGTGAGCTGTGGATTGTCTCACCATCAGTGCTGGATATTCTGGTCTCCTCCTCTAGGAAAGCTGGTCAAATTTAAGATTTGCATTTAAGTCTTGAGTGTATTTTTTATATCACACGGAGCTCTTTGCCTTCTATGTGTCTGCTRTACATGTAAACTTTTTATATTTTATGTGTATCCATTTATATTTCTATATAATTATTTCTATTTTTAAAATTAACTTGTTCACATGCATTTTGTCTAGGGAGAAAGGGGTCCTAAAGGAGATCAAGGAGTGCCAGGAATATATGGAAAAAAGGCAAGTGACTTCATAATCATAAATTAAAGCCAAATCCTATTGGTATCTGTGATGTGGTGACCTTGACTGGCTGCCTGGTGCAAACCCCCAAGGACCTCTCTCATTCTCCCTTCTCATCTGTACAGAAAGAGAAAATAATATGGAAAAAGACTGTRGGTCCAAATAAGAGAGATCACCTGCCAGTTACTGTCCCAGACAAAACAGTGGCTACTTGGGGAAAATTAATTTAATTTATTGACATCTAAAATAAGTTTTGGTAGTGAGAAAAAAAGGAGAAAACTAAACTGCATTGTCCTTCACGCTGCCTTTTCCTAGGCTGGGCTTCCCTCCTTCCCGGGATAGGAAATRGGGAGCAAGTTAAGGGGGTCTTTAACAGCTTCTTCCCTGCTGCAGTGCAGGTCCTTCTCGAGGGCTGCAGGTGTTTCCTGAGAGCCACAGGTCCTTTCCAGGGACCACATGTCCTTCCTGTGGGCCGCAGGTCCTTCCCAAGGGCCACAGGCCTTCCAGGGAAACATGGTCCTGCATGGTGGCTCTATGAGCTGCACAGCTCCATCGCTGTCCCCTTCACAGGCTGGAGGGGAATCTCTGCTCTGACACTCTCTTCTCAGTGTCTGCAGAGCTGTTACTGTTCCCCTCTTTCCCTATTTTGTTGGTGTCATGTTTTTGTCCCTTCTTAAACGCCTTCCCCAGTGCCACCCCAGCTGTGGGCTCAGCCCTACCCTGTGCTGGGTGGTTGGATCTGGCTTGAACTGGCTGTGTCTGGCTGGAACCAGCTGTGTCCGGCTGGAACCGGCTGTGTCTGGCTGGAACCGGCTGTGTCCGGCTGGAACCGGCTGTGTCTGGCTGGAACCAGCTGTGCCTGGCTGGAACCGGCTGTGTCTGGCTGTGTCTGGCTGGAACCGGCTGTGTCTGGCTGGAACCGGCTGTGTCTGGCTGGAACCGGCTGTGTCCGGCCAGAACTGGCTGAGTCTGGCTGGAACCGGCTGTGTCCGGCTGGAACTGGCTGAGTCTGGCTGGAACCGGCTGTGTCTGGCTGTGTCCGGCTGGAACTGGCTGTGTCTGGCTGGAACCGGCTGTGTCTGGCTGGAACTGGCTGAGTCCGGCTGGAACCGGCTATGCCTGGCTGGGACCGGCTGTGTCCGGCTGGAACCGGCTGTGTCTGGCTGGAACCGGCTGTGTCCGGCTGGAACCGGCTATGCCTGGCTGGGACCGGCTGTGTCCGGCTGGGACAGCCCCAGCCTCTGCTCATGTAGCCCCTGCTGGGAGCCATGGCATGGGACCCCCAGACCACATAATAATATTGTTATAACAGTATTCACTGAGAATGTGATTTTTCAATACAGCTCAGAAAAACGTTCCGTTCTTTTACTGGGTTACTTAAATTTAGAAATACCAAACTCACGCTCTGCTTATTTGGATATTTTGAGAACTGTCTTCATTCTGTTAGAGGATTRGTATGATTCATTTTCACATAGCACAAAATGCATACATTTTTGTATATAGGTCTATGGGATAACACAGCATATATGAGGCATATGTAATAATTATATTGCAAATAAGTCCGYATTTTTAAATATATGTATAAACAAACGAGAGAGGGAGAGGAGTTAGGGGAGTGAGGAGAGGAGCATATGAAAGGAGTGAGGCTGGTAGTGGATGAAAAARGAGATATTTTAATCTGTAATTTAAACAAAGCACAGGGTATATTTTGGCCATCCAATGTCAACCACTATATTTTCACCTGTCCTTGTATTTTCTTCATGTCTTTGATCTAGAGTTTTAAGCGATTTCAAAGAGGGTCTSTGTTTGCATATTTGAAGCATATTTTTCTTTCTTAACTCTGGGGTCATAGTTATTAGTTGACAACTGCCTGTGTTAAGAAAGAAACATCTTCTGTRCATTTTCAAAATAAGAAAAAACATACATGAATTATAGGTTAAATACACTGATTTTTCAGCATAAATATTGAGCATTACTTACTTTTCACTTGCTGTTTTTTTCAGGGTTCAAAAGGAGAGAAGGGTGATACAGGGTTTCCAGGAATGCCTGGACGATCTGTAAGTCTTCTGAAGACAATTTGTCTTTTGCTTTTGCTTGTTAAATCGCCTACTGATTACTGTGAAATGTTGCCACAGGGAGACCCTGGCAGAAATGGCAAAGATGGATTACCAGGCAGTCCTGGCTTCAAGGTATGTAGAAATGTAAATTAATATCTTAATAAAGGCCTTCAATTGCATTTCTTGTGGTCTAAGCATGCCCAGTTTCTTCTGTGGAGAATTACTGGAAATTCAAATGATGTTGTTGYTGGGAGCTGTGGAAGTTTACTGCAGCAATGAGCAGATGTCATTATTTTCAATTCTGTGAGCAGAGGCAACACTTTTATTAAGAGTGTGTTAGTGATCATTAGAGATTGTTTATACTTTATCTCTCTTATCCTTTTGTGGTTCTCTATGAATCTGTTAAAGAGATTTATATACCAGCATAGATGGAGAATATAATTTGCTTTTGAAGGGAGCTGCAGGAAAATTAGGGGAAGGTATCTTCAATGGATTAATGTTTGTATTGTGTTCTCTTCACTGTGCAGTACTTTTCATGTTTAATGTAGAACAGTTTTTCAAGTYAGTTGAGTATGTGTCTACTGTAAAAAAGACAACAGGATCTATTATTTCTATGTTATTTCTATAATGTATTGCATAGTATTGTATAGTCTGTGAGCTCACTGGATGTTTTGCTTGCCAAGTTGTTGTTTGCAGTGTTCTAATTTGTAAAAACAAACTTTAGCAGCATCAGTTCTATGTTCMCAGGGAAAAGATTTTAATAACATATGATGTAAATGCTCAATTGAATGATCGAAAGAAGTTTTACAAAAGCAGCTTTGTTACTATAAGATTTTTTTTAATARTAATTAAATTATCGAGGGCTGCCCAAGATTAATGTTACTTCATTGTCCAGAAATGCAAGTGTACTTCKGAATTCATTTTCTAAATTCATATTACTGTAGTTGGAGATCTGGGTCTTCCATTTTGTGATGATGCTTGTCTAGAGCATTTGGGGATCCAGCTGGCATATCCATGACATCTGCTGCAGCAGGGAGATATGACACAAGGCCTGTGAGAGGCCTAAAACATTCCASGCAGCAGCTGTCAGTAGGGTAGATCCAGAGAAATGCCAGTGGAGTCTGGAGAGCAGTTCAGYTCAGAGAAGGCAGACTTTTAGGTACCAGTTTAACTGTGTACATAAAAAAAATCCCTGGTGCATTTGAAATGCATTAGTYTCCAAAACATCCTCAGGGAGCTGAAAAATATACCATAAGTCCTATGGAAAGCCATTGCCTTTCTGGAGTGGGAATAGCCAAGATAGCATTGGGTATCGCAAATATGACCAAATGTCATTTTGTAGGCAATCGAATGCAACTGTGGTCAGCTGAATCAATCCTCCGTGAATTGTCCTGACTAGAATTCTGTTTGTGATATGAGCATGGCTGCCTCCAGGATTTTATTTCAAATGAATCGCCTTTTATTTTACATATATATGTGCACATATATACACATATATATATATATATATTTATATATACACACAAATACATATCTAGATATATATATATATATATATATACATATACATATACATGTATAGATATGTATATATAGGTGTATATATATATTTATATGCACATATATGCAGTTATTATTGCTAAGTTGGAAGAGAAATTCCTTCTCTGGTACTGTAGAATGTAGAAAAAAAAATCAGATATTAGATTTTTTTTCTTCTCTGGTATTTTTTAACAGACTGGTAATAATCACAGTTAACATTAACATAAAATTCTAAGTGTCACTGGTGGCAATTTAAAGTGAAGCATTATGTTGCTAAAGCATGAATTTGGAGAGTACCTCCATCTGTTTTATGCTTGCAAACAATATACAGRGAATTCAATATATTGTGTGAACATGTATACATTTAAACTGAAAGACATTTTCTGGACTATTTTCTTAATTTTTTGTAGTATAAAAAATATTATATGCTCATTATTTTTTTTCATTTCATAATATAATAGTTAATAGAAGCCATATTCTTCATTCAAACATKTTGTTAGCCTGACTTCAACATCTGCTTGCTATAAAACATTCATTCATTCTGGGTTTGTAATCAAATTCTGGGCCTGTAAACAAACAGGCAGTCTTTGAAGGAAATTTTTGTTGTAGCTTTCCTGTTTTTTTTACAATATTCATTTTGGGAAAGAATGTGGAAAAAACATGGCTTGAAACCCAGATGCTACCTATTGTTACTTCAAGTCCAACTTTTATAATTTTAAGTTAGTCAGTGACAGGTTATTTTATATATGTATATACATATGTACTGTTATACATATATACATATATACATATATATATATACACACACACACATATATATATATATGTATGTATCTTTGGCTTTCTTTTATGTGCTTTTATTTCTGGAATTATTCAAGTTTTCAGAATACTTTAGTATCATGCATACTTCAAGTAAGGAGATGAAGATGTGATCATTTGTGGTACTGCTGTATTCTGAAGTGCTTTGGAATATTTTTTCATACTATCACTTGTACTAAAAATTAGACAGTAGCAGTTTATTATTGTTTTACATTCTTTCAACCGGGAATTGCTGTTCTGATTGAAAGGAAAATTGCCTCTTGTCTCTTTTTACAAACTGTTTTGACATTTTTGACAGCTGTCAGATACAGCATGAGGGACTATTGGATTGATGACACTTYTTGCTGTGTCTTAAACTTTTAAGAGATATTTGTTTGGTGAAGTCTCAAAGTGTAGTGGTTTGAAATTTTACCTATATTCAAATTCTAATTTACTAAATAAGGTAAATATTTTTGTGCAAATAAATTTATTTTTATGCTTATTATGCATATAAGGTTGTTTTCTTGAGTATTTTTTTATTTTAAAGGGAGAAGTTGGGCAGCCTGGATCTCCAGGCCTAGAAGGACATCGAGGAGAGCCTGTAAGTGATTAAATTGCTGACATAT